ATATAATTGATGGTTCTTCCTTGTTTCTTTATGGATTCTATAAATTATGAAATCATTCAAATCATCAAAAAAATTTCATTTTATAATTAATTGTCTTGCTTAACTGATTTTACATTCAAATTATTACCAAAGAGACTTTTTATTAAAACAATTTATTTCTCAGTGTTTGTGTTGTTTGTATTGCAGGCAGTAACACATAAAACAGAGGGAGTTCTGGGTTATATATACTGTGACTTCTTTTTGAGATATAGGAAAAACAACCAGGTATGCTTTTCTGAAGTTTTATTTTTATTTCGCACCTTTTCATTGTTCACAAGGATGACCATTATATTTTTTAAAAATTATTATGCCAAATCGTTAGAGGAGGGAAATAATTCAAGTAATCATCAGTAATTATGAAAATACTGACTGTTGAAGTTGGTTATCGGTTAAAATCCTTTTCCTGATCAGCTTTTGGATAATCAAAGACTGTTCAGTCATGTTTTCAATTTAGACAAACTGTTTATGAAGTATTTTCATGCCATTTATAAAATAATGTAACTTTTGCTTCATGAATATGAAAAATATAGGTGTCTATGAAATATAACACTAAGACTGGTTGTATACTTTCAGCCGTGTCATTTCACAATCCAGGGAGGACGACAGCTACCAGATGGTGAATATCAGGTAGGACAGTCCAAAAAAAAAAAAATAAATAAAATAAAAAGATAATAATAATAATAATTATTATATCTTAACTATTACATGTAGTAAAAACAGTAACAGTAATCTGCAAGGAACAGTAATTACGGTAAACGCTGGCAGTAACATACACCGCGTACATGTAGTAATGGTATACGTGATAAATTTCTTACACTGCATCCTCTTTATCTGCCCCAAAAAAGCACACTTCACACACATATATATGTGCATTTTAGATCTTATTTCCAAACTCTCTACTCTGTAATATCTTAATCATATCTTCCAGCTGCCCAAGGTGGCCCTGTACATGAACCTGGTCCCCCCAGGGAGCACCGTGCCCTGTTTACTGACACACTCACAGCTGGAGAACCTTTGGCACGAGATGGGGCACGCCATGCACTCCATGTTAGGCAGGACCAGGTACCAGCACGTGACAGGTACATATAGGGGAGGGTGTGTGTGTGTGTGCGTGCGTGCATGCACATGAGTGAGCATGGACACGTATGCATGCATACATACATACATGCATACATACACACATACATATACACATTAGGCACTGGGAAGAAAAACATAAACATTAAGAACTAATATAAAGAGTGAGGATATTGTTAGCATGTAATGGTTGATAGCTGCCATTGTAGATATGGTTGTTAACATTTTGTGCATGAACAGAGAGAGAGAGAGAGAGAGAGAGAGAGAATTTTATGAAAATGTATGAAAAAGTATCCACTGTTATAAAATTATGTAGTTGGACTTTTGTGCAGATTTTCCATGCCAGTGGATAAAACATGTTGAACCCTCTCTCTCAATTTTGGTATTTTATCATGCTAGGTACGAGGTGCAGCACAGACTTTGCTGAAGTCCCTTCAATCTTGATGGAGTATTTTGCACTTGATCCAAGGGTATGTGTTACTGAATTTCTTAAAAGCTGCACTTGTAGTCAACGATCTGTTGCTCGTTTTCTTTCTTCAAGCCAGATTTGTAATAATTAATAAATGTTAAGAGCCTAGTATCCACAGTACAAACTAGTTCAGATGGCTTCTGTGGCAAAGTATGGAGAGATGTAAAGTTAATGAATTAGTAAAAATCAAAATCGTTTTTTCTCATAGGTGATTTCCAGTTTTGCCCGCCATTACAAGACAGGAGAGGAAATGCCAAGTCAGATGGTGCAGGGCATACACAATTCAAAGAAAACTTTTCCTGCTCTGGTAATTTTTATTTACTTGAGTCATTATTTCTTGATTCAAAATTTAATGATTCAGAAAAAAAAAAAATTAAGAGAAATGATTTTGAAACTCACATCATTTTAAGCAAATATCAAAAAGCAATAAGCAATATTGAAAAGAAGTGATAGCATGTTGCATGAAAAATATATGCTTGAGCTCCACCTTAAAGTTACTGTTTGGATTTGCTTTTCATCACAGACAATCAGTATTTTGTGTGCCCCTAGGATATTGTTGCTTAGCATCTATTTGATTGACACAATGCTGATTTGTTTTTTATCACAGACTTTCCAACAATCATTATTCCTGGTGCCTGAGCTCCATCCCTAGGGTACTGACACTTAGCATCCATTTGATTGCCACAACACTGATTTTGTTTTTCATCACATATATACATTAAAAGTCAGTATTCCTGAAGCCTAAGCCCCACCCCTGAGTTTCTAACTTTAAAATGCTAAGCACCCATGTGTGATTGACACAGCATTATGATTCCAGACCCTCCAGCAGTCAGTATTCCACAGTATGTTGGACCAGGTCTACCACGGAAAACATCCTCTGGGTAAAAGTACGACAGACATTTTAGCTGAAGTACAGAATGAGTATCTTGGGTTGCCCTACGTGCCAGGCACTGTAAGTATTTTTCTGAGTCACTAGACATAATTTTCCTTTAAAGTAGTTCAAGAAAAATTGGGATAATTTGGAAACTTTGTCCTTTGGAGCAATACGATGCTGACAAGTCTTTCGCCAATAGCAGATAAACATCATATTGAATAACTGAAAGTTGTTTCAAAAAGCTGTTTTATTCTAACAGTATCGGTCATGTAAATCATATGCTGGACAGTTAAGAATTTTCCACAATTTAGTATTTAGTACTGAAAATCAAGGACACAACTCTGTACGATGATGGCTCAGATTAATTGTATATGTTTCAGGCGTGGCAGCTGAGGTTTTCCCATATTGCTGGTTATGGTGCTCGCTATTACTCCTATCTCCTCTCCAAGGCTCTGGCTGCCAAGATCTGGCAGAGGTGCTTCAGGGATGACCCCTTTAACAGGTAAGACATCTTACCAGATGGTTCACCTCCAAGGCTGTGTTAAACCTTCATGTTGCAAAAAAAAAAAAAGAATTGAAAAAAAAAACTTCAACACTTTTCCCTTATACACCAATGTATACCATATTCAAAAATGAGAGTGATTATTCTGATTCATCCAGTAGAATGATGTCATGTAAGAGAAAAAAAAAAAATTGAATACTGGGCTTCAGGAGATCAGTGGTACCGATCACAATGTTGGATCATTGCATATTAATAACTTCCCATTTACAGTATTAGATTTAATTTTTCCTCTCATATTAAAAGAAAAATGTCCCCAGAACTGCTATCCATACAACTAATTTTGAGTTCACACAAATAGTTTATCATATTAACGTATGTTTAATGCAGTGAAGTTGACCTTGATTTGCTCCTGTCATTCAGAACAATGGGTGAACAATATCGCCAGAAAGTGCTGGCTCACGGAGGACAGAAACCGCCATTAGAACTTCTACAAGGTAGGCATGGGCAAGATTTCAATAAGCTGAATGATCTTTGCTGCACATCAGTTCAATTATACTTTAATTTGAACAATGTTTTATAAGTGTATCATGGAAGTATCATATAAGTTATGAACAATAATTCTTTGTCAAACTGTTCATGATGAATACATGATACATCAACACTTAGTAGAAATACACATACAGATTAACATATACATATAATACATGGCATGTACAGACAGCATTATGACCAAAGTGCAAGAATAATAACATACAACAATCTTGTAGTAACAAGAATGATAATAACAGTTGTAATTATAAAGAAAATAAAAGAAAGTAAAGAAAGAAATGAATAAGTAGGTGCATCGATTCAGAAAATTTTATAAAATCAAAGAAATAGGTTATTTCATATGTTCTGTTTATTCATCTGTAACTTACTTGCAAAACATTTAGCAGTTAGGGTACAGATCTGTTTTCTTCATACTGTTATTCACTAATGCCTGTGAATCGTGTAGTAATGAGTATTGCAGATTAATGACCACTTTTTTATTTCAGATCTCCTGGGTGAAGAGTTGACACCACAGACATTTGTTGACACGCTAATTGAGGATCTTGACAATTAACACAGCAGTTAAAAATGATTTATATTCAAAATACTGGCACTTTTAATGCTAGGATTTGCCCCCTTATTGTCTGGTTAATAAAATTAACTATTTCTTCAAATTCATTGGGTTTCCCTCATTCCCTCATGTTTTTTTAAAATTCTGGTGTCATTTTAACTGAAAAGTAAATATATTTGTAACATATCCTAAGTTTAAAAGTTTCACAGAAAAGTTATGTGTATATATTGACATGATTGATAGAGAACAGACAATAATTCTCAGTTTTCCATGTATTATTATGAAAAGAATAACAGTAGATGAACACTCAGTTGAACCAAGATACCTTAATTTTATACATCATATCTTGTATAGATAAAGCCATCACCTAGGTTATTCACCAGTGACAAGAACTTAGATTTCTGTTTAATTTAGTCCATGCAGATTATAACATTTGAGTGTCAAATTTTATTTCATCTGCATCAACATATTTTTTTGAAATAAAATCCAGTTAAGTTACTTCATAATACTTTAATCCTTTTTCTGTATTTCTTTTATCCACTGTACATCAGAATTAATCTTAAAAAGGCATATCACGTTTTTTTCAGAATATCTATTAATTGGTTCATGTAAGGCCACCCAAAAGGAAGAAAAAGGGGAACAATATACATGTTTTTTTTTTTATTTTCTTTAGAAAAAATTACACATAAATATACAAGCATTCATTTTTAAAGATATATTACACTTTTTACATTTTTTTAATAAATATACATAAATTTGACACCAAATTCATTATGGCAATCATAGCTCACTTCATATAATGCATGTATACAGTGACATGAGGATAATTTGTTAATCATGATTATCCACTGTTTTAATGATTAAATCACATAACTTTATGTCAGCAATTCAAAGTTCAGTCCAACCAGAAGAGGGCAGCACAATATGTGTTAAAAGTGTACTCCACACACAAAAGAGAGCAGCACCAACTCTAAACGTGTGTACAATAATACGTAAACGGTGCTGTGTTCTTGCCCTCAAATCTGTCAGGAATTCAACTTACTGCTTCTGGCTGTGAAAGCATCTAATCTGAGAGATGTATTTCCAAATAATGCTTCACATTTTTCAATAATGACATATTACATAATTACACCAACAAAGTGTCATACTGGAAGTATTGTCATACATTATGCTATTTCTGGTTTTTTTTAGACACTTCATCTAAAGTGGATTTTAGTGCTTTCCTAGCCTCCCTGGCGTCATGCATGGATGCTGTTCTCACAGCATTGTATTTTCTCTGGACCTGAAAATATCAAAATAATCATGCAAAATATATTTTAAATTGAATAAGTTGAGATGAAGAATAATATTGCATAACAAGATAAAAATTATTTGACATAACACAACAAAAATCCTGTGATGTAGGGTCTTGACGAAATCATGAAGCATTGAAAAATTATGCTTCCCTTATGTCATAGGTTAAGGTGAAAGGTCACACCAGAGCCAGAAGAAAGATGGGCTCCCCAATCAGAAGCCACAACAAACTGACAATTGAGCTTAACTTTCATAACTATAAACAGCCACCCACAATGTACTTACATCCCCAAGTAAAGTAGGTGCCTCAGGAAAGTCCTTCATCTTTCTCTTGTCCTTCAAAGCCACGTTAAGTGGAGCCTCTGTTACAGCGGTCCTTGTCTTCATCTCCGTCAGCATGTCGTCTACTTTCTCTTGGTATGTTTTGGGAGGGACATCACTAAGGTATTTATGCTGGAAGGAAATTCAATGTTGAAATTATGGATGAACTTTAAATGTGAGAAATAAATTTCCCATTTCTAATACAGTTCCAGGGCTATCTGATGAATTTCAGTAATGACATTGTGTTTAAAATACATTTATAAGGTATTGGTAAGCAACGCACCATTACATGTGCCTGCTGGACATCAGCTTCAAAATTATGGACATTGTATCCTGGGAAAATAGTGGACATTGTGTTAAAGCTTGCCGTCTAATCTACTAATAGACACTGAATAGATTCCCCGTGGGGAAGTATTCAAGTGGGTTGGCCATATTTGACTCTTGGACTAGTTAGTCCACTGTTCTGAATGCTGCATTGTGTTAGGGGTGCATGGCCAGAAGAAATGCATTGTGTTAGGTGTGCCTGGCCAGAGGAAATGCATTGTGCTAGGTGTGCCTGGCCAGAAGAAATGCATTGTGTTAGGTGTGACTGGCCAGTGGAAATGCATTGTGTTAGGTGTGCCTGGCGAAAATCATATTGTGCTACAAGAAATGCAGATGTCTCACCTGTTTATATGGTTCAAAAGGTTTCTGTATCCTGTCCAGCTGAACCACATTGTCCCTGAACACTATGGGGTGATCCAGCATCTGTTTTAGGGCACGCACACTGCCTTGAAGGTCTGCAATGTAATAATAATAATAAAAATGATAATAATCAAACAAATATAATAATAGTTTATTGCAAATAATATTTGTCATAATGAAATTTTGCTACATAATAATGGTAATGTAGATAATAAAAAAATACCAGAAGTAATCAGATAACTATTATCTCAGAGTCTACAGAATGTGACTGTCTTTTCAAATTTCAAAATACAAGATATATCATCTCCATCTACCTGGCACTGAAAGTCCTTCAATTTTTTTTCCTGAATTTTTGAATTTAGACTCCATTTTATCTAAGAGGAGTCCTGAGCAAAGAAGAAAAGTCATCAAATAAAGAGAGAGAGAGAAAGAAAATTTGGCAGATACAGATTTAGGATTGATTTTCAGATAAAGACAGAGATATTAGAGGAATGTTTACCTTTGGGGATATGAGTATTGGGGTCCTCTGGTACATCTAACAAAATTTCATATCCCTTATAATGCCCCGGGACAGTCTTCTTTTTCCTTTGTTTTTCAGGTTTCTGAGTCTCCTTTGGAGGCCTAGGTTGATCTTTTGGGATGTTTTCATCAATCTGAAAAATGCATAAAATAGTCAAATTGCACATTAAAACAGGACATATGTAACATACCAGTGTATTTAAAAATTTTATATGTTTAAAAAAATTCAACACTATTTGCCAAAAAAAAGATACCAAAAACAATAATGATAGCCAGATTAAGGCACATGTGAACTGAGTTTTGTATAAAAAATGGGCTGACAATATGTCCTTGGATATTTCAAAACCAGTGAAAAAATGAGCATCAATATATTTTTTAGCAAATATTAAAGGGATAATAACTCTTCGTATGAGATCTATTTTTCACAATAAAAACATTGTGAAT